ATTTGTGAGATCTATAGAACGATTGGATACTTTCTTCTACATTTCGAAGCGAAGAATGAAAATCAAATACCAGTTAAGAGTCAAAAGTAACGTATTGTAAGTTAAATAAGGAAATATTTTTACATAAATTATATAAATTATTTATATTCAGTTACAAAGAATTTATTTCAGAGAAGAGAAATAAGAGATATTAAAAGACAATACAAATGCTGAATTTCGTTACGAGTAAGAGAACCAGATTTAGAGATTATAACTGGAGATCAGAACTAGATGATTCCAAGGATTGCGATTAATAATTTTTACAAGCATTTCCGAATCGACGTGAAGTGACACTTGGACATGATCGGGCAGATATTCCGTTTCTTCGTCATCCTCTTGAGCGATTACTGTGGCGAAACATCATGCCACTCGAGCCCAAGTGGGCATCCCTCGGCACCTATCCGAAGTTGAGGAGCCTCAAATGGGTTCGGAGGGTATCCCGTGCTCTTCTCTGTTCATTCATTCGCCGGAAACGTATCTTTGCGGTGAATGATTGAGACGCCCGGCAACGGGCATCGTCGACAACGCTCTAGGTGAACCGACTTTAACTGCCGTCCGTAAGCATTTGTCATGGCACTTTAGCAGAGCGCCGTTCCGAATACATGTATACGAACCTCACGATAGAGATTGCCGTTCTTGTTCGCAAGTCCGCAACTTCTGCACAACTTGATACAAGGATGCACAATGACAATGGCTACAGCGGGAGAGCTTTCAGATCGGCGAATGGAGCTTTTCACATCAAACAAAATTCGATCGATCCGTGTCATCGATATACAAATCGTCTCGCTAAATGGATGGAAACTCAAATTTGACTCTTGAATTGTTGCGCTATATATCTCAAATATTCTGAACTCGATTTTCGGATTTAATAATAGAATTAGAATATGTAGAAATATATATTTCTATACATATATAGTAGTAAAATTTATTTTTTAGTTTTGTGAGCTTTTAACCATTCAAAATCTTTATCAATTTTGCATATACTGTTTATTCTTATAATTTTAATCATGTAAAATATATATTTTTTCTTGTAAAATTCTTGAAGAATGTTTTATGAAATTATTTTATATAATCCAATTTTTTCAAGAATCTTAAAGAAGAATTTTATATAAAAATGGAAACTACGAATTACTATAGAATTTACGAAATGCAGAGAAAGAGAGAGAGCAAAATGAAGCGCAATGATCCATTTTAGATAGTCAAAGACGAATCAGAACAATAGTTTATTCTAGTACGAGAAATCAGGATGGCAAGTCTCGCGTAAAGGAAGCCGGCAACCTCTAGCGAGCCGCTGCTGCTCGTCGTAATTGATTACGTCACGATGGCGAGAGGAGGACCACCCCGGAGAACAAGAAGGGAAAAGAGAGGTGGATGTATAAGTCAGACGGGGAGGAAGAAGTCGGACGGATGATGAATGTGCTGTCTGAGCCGTCGCGTCAGCGAGGCTCTGTTGCCCGTTTGTAAACGAGCTTCCCATTTTTTTTTCACGGTTCTTTACGCGCTGCCAAAAGTATCAAACTGTCTGCGCACATCCGAAAACACTTTGCTCGTCGATCCTCGATTAGCGTTCGTTGATCACTTGCCAGCTTAGTCTTTCCAAAATTGCGTGTTTTTGTTCGTAAAGAACGTAAAGCAAGCATGAAAGAAATAAATTGTAAGATTAATAGAACTAATTAGAAATTATGTAGATTGAAGAGCTATGAAAGCAAATTTGCAATTCCAACATTTGCATCTTTTTTGTACATGACAGCGAATTGCTGCAGTTACAACATTAGTGTACAGTTTCAAAGTTTATCAATTAATAGTTTGAATTAATACGTATATTAATACTGGCGAAACAAATCAAAAAAAGAAAAAAAACGATTTCTTTGCGTATGATGTAAAGAAAAATTATTATTTTCATATTATGCTTATTCAGAATAATGCATTTGTACAAGATTTTATTATACAGCCGGTTACGCTAACCCGAGATAAGAAAGTTTGTCTTGGGTAACTATTGGAAATACATTTTTACGTTGATAGATGAGAAGTTATCTCGTAAGAAACAGCGTATTATTGTGTATTATAATAAGTTTATCACACGGTATATTTAAACTGCGTTGTTAGCAGCACGGAATGAACATGTCCTTGTTCCAATTATACTGTCACGTATGTATTTGAAAAGAATATAATACATAATTCCAAGGTAAATGACTTCCATTTTTCTTTAATTCTGTTAGACATGTGTGAAGGCAATGTCGTTTACTTGCTTCAACAAATATCATAATGAAAGAAAGAAATTTTAACAGTTCTCTACATTAATAAGTGCGCTGCAATTGTTCAACGTTAATTTCTTTATCTTTTTTGTTTGTAAAAAATGTCTCTAACTTGATATTTTAAATACATTAGCAAAAATTTGATTCATGAAAATCATTGCTTCTAAAATAATCTTTATTCCTTAAGGTATACGTGTCATTTGTTTTAAATATCTCGCAATTTTAATTATTGCATCGATAATAGAATAATAATAATATAAAACAATGTCAGATAGAGCTATATACGTGACAACAATGATTTTTCAGAAATCCACAGAGACGAACATTGAGAAAAATTTCGCGCGTGTTCGATGATGCATCGTGATACGGGAAAGGGTGTTGGGACGAGGAAGCGAGAAGGGATCAAGGGACGGCTAATGAAGTCCTAATAAACGGCGCCGAGACTCAGGCAGGCGGCAACACCCTTTCTGGCTTGATATTTAATACAAACGTTACAATATCAAAACACGTCCTTTGGGTCCGAATGCCCACTCGAGCGCACCCCTTGATCGCGCGCGTGGTTAATACCGTCTGCCTTAAGGCGACGGTATCGCGCACCCCCTTGCGTTGTTGTACCGATTCTAATACAAACATACACATCCCCAGAATCCGCGTTGGGTCCACGACGAGGAGCTAACTATAATTCCCCGATGCTCTCTCGTGCTCGAACACAATGGCCGGGCAAGCGATGCAAAGGGGAGAGAGAGAGAGAAAGAGAGAAAGAGAAACTAGCAACTAGCCTTTTCTAAAGACACGCCAGTTATTTGCGCGAGTTATTATCGCTCGTTAAGAACCGGCATTCGAAGCGCGTTTAACAATTTGCTCGCATTCGCCCTCCTCAGACTCCATTTGTTTCTTTAATTTACTACTCCGCTTTTTGCCCGCCGATTTGCGAGTCTCGCGCGGTATTATCGGTAGATTTTTCCTCCGGACGAGAATTTCCGCTTCCGTATGCGTGTCTCTTCTTTATAGATTTTTATAAAGAGGCAAGTGGCGACTTGTGAAAACACAGACACCTATAATTAATTAATTTTGTAAATTATGACGCGTTGTTTACACCTACCCTCGTGTGCACACGTGAGGTAGCTTCTCTCTTTCTCTCTTTCTCTCTCTTTCTCTCTTTCGACAACGAGGAAGTCCCATTCACGATGGGACATACACGCGAGAAATGGCTCGCGATTCTCGCGCCAGGCCCATTTTCGAAAGTCAATCGACCGTGAGCCCCCTTTTCGTCAATCGTGCACACTCGTAAATCTCCCTTATAACCCTCGGGGTGTGTGCCAGTCGACGCGATGCGATGCGCTGAATTAGCGTCAACAGGATATTTTTGACAAATGTTGCTTTTTTCCTAACGGATCTCATGAACGATAATTGTGTATGAAAGTTATACATATACACATACGTCTGTACCAATATTTCATTCTGTTTAGTAATAGTTTCCAATCGGTATTTCGATGCAAGCTCGTTTAATTTTTCCGCATTGCTATATATCTATTATTAGATTTAGCGAGTAGATTTGTGTGTAAAGGATTTAACAATTTTTTATTATTATTACATGAGATAAAGAAATCTAATCCTTTGTAGTGCAAAATTATTAGTGGTAATTATTGAATTAGTGAATAATTAATCGTGTAATTTAACTACATTAATGTAGTCAATATATTAATTAAACATTCAGAGATAATCTCATATTTTCCTTTGGAAAACTATTTTTAAATTATTTATTTATTATTAACTTACACGAAAGAAAAAATACATTTTTTAGAAATATTATAATGTTACGTACAAACATATCCAAATTTAATTTTTTCTAATCTCTTATAATCATACAAAGGAATTATAATCATGTTTCTGACAACTGATTATAATTAATTATTCTATTGATATTTAAATCCTTTCACTAGATTCAACATAAATCTTTGCATACATCATTAAAAAGTGAAAGTATCTATGTTATACAATGGTATTTATTTATTTCTTATCTTATTTGCAAATTTTATGTATTTTTTGAAAACGATAGGATTTCTACCCCAGAAAAATTAGGGCGTGGCACTCCACTCTAGGTGTCACCTTCGGATGCAGCTTTTGCGCGCGGCGGTGACGGGAATATAAAATATCTGCGCGAGGGAACGCTTCTTTTTCTTTCTCTCTCTCTTTCTCTCCCTCCCTCTCTCCTCCCTGGCGTTTCTCTCGAGTATCCCAAGACGGCGGCGTGTGTGCCTGCCTTGTCACTGGCACAATGAGTCGAAGATTATCTACGATGGGATTCGCTGACATTACGACGCTCGCGACCAACCCCCTGCGCTCGCCCTCCGCCACTCCTCGCCCCCTTTCGTCGAGCGCGAAAAGAAAGAAAGAAAGAACCCGCCGTAGTCTTCTTCTCTCCTCTCGGCTTCTAAACGGGAGGAGAGAAAATACATGATCTACGGCGACAGCGGTATTGTTCGTCGAAACGCGAAAAAGTCACCAGAGGTGGTGGAGCATTTGAACTCTTCACACCCCTTATGCGAACATTCGGCGAGAGGAGGGAATAATTCAGAGAAATATGATTTTTTGTGGGCGCAATTTTTTACCGTTTCATTTGTTGGTGTATCTAGCTTTCAAGAATGAAAATGACTATTTGAAAAATAAGCGTGCATAAAGTTATGCGATTTCCATCGTTCGCAGGACACAGCGGGGTGAACCAGCTGGGTGGTGTCTTCGTCGGCGGCCGGCCACTTCCGGACTCGACGCGGCAAAAGATCGTCGAGCTCGCACATTCGGGCGCGCGACCATGCGATATCTCCAGGATACTGCAGGTCAGCAACGGCTGCGTCTCGAAGATCCTCGGCAGGTTGGTTGCAATACTGCTTATTATATTTTAACATGCAGGTATTTCTGGAAAAATAGAAAACTTGAAATTCTCAGAAATTCATTTCTTTTGTAATTAAAAGAATATTTTAAAGCTATAATGGAATTCAAACTTAAGAGAAGAATATAAATAGGTTATTCAAACACTTTTATGTTATGCACAGCCATTGCGTCATAAAAGACGCAATCAAGGTATATTGTTCAATAATGGCTTTGCCCCCGCATTATGCACTTCGATCCAAATTTAAACCATAATATGGCGGACGATATGCTTAGTGTAATATTCTATCATTAATGTTGACTTGAGAATCTTTCTTATGTCCCTACCGTATTGTACCGCAAATTATTATTGTTGTAGGTACTATGAGACCGGATCTATAAGGCCCAGGGCCATTGGCGGCAGTAAACCGCGCGTCGCAACAGCGGAGGTTGTTAACAAGATCTCGCTCTACAAAAGCGAGTGCCCATCGATCTTTGCGTGGGAGATTCGAGATCGCTTGCTGCAGGAGGGCGTATGTACGAACGACAACATTCCGAGCGTAAGTACGGCCTAGAATATGTGCAAAGATTCTTTTGCTTTCACTTATATTAAACAGAATTTATATTGAGATTGATAAGAATTATCTTCATTATAGTGGCTATGTCATTATCATTATTATAAGCAGATAGAAATAGATAACAAACTAAATTAATTGAAATATTTTTCACTATTACAATAAACAAATTGACCTCAATAATCAATATAATAATGATTGATAGAAAGAGTAAATATATACAGATAATTTTTTATTAAAAATAAAAAACATTTTTATTAACGCCAGTAATGGAATTATGGCAAAAATTCGATTTATTTAAGATTATTTTGCAGTTATTTGAGTTTCATTATTTTATTAAGTCTGCTGACAAAAGGATACTTTAGCAGATTTTTCTACTAGATCATAAAATATATAATAAATATATAAATATCGCACGTTTAATAAAAACGTTATTCTTTTTGAAAATATAGATCAAATAAAGATTCGCGCTTCGTAAAAAAATCTTTGCTAACTTGTAGTTAAAGCTCGTTGACCGATTACGCAACTTGACAAAAGTTTCCGCGGAAGAATCGGTGTCGCGGCGACGGCGACAATACAAAGCGCGTCGCAAAACAGCCGTAATGGAGCCTGACTTTCGGCGGGTGGAGGTTGTAAACGCGCAGGCGTATTGTCAACGGTGGCTTTGTCTCTACTCACACAAAACAGGACCGCATTTACATAGATAGTCGTACGTAGAACGAGGAAGGGGACGGAGGTGAGGGATGGAAATCAGTTTTCCATGGGGTAGCGGCCGGTTGTACAGAGGATGTTTATGCGAGCCGATGGACTCTCGGGCGACGTGTGCAAACTCCACCCCCTCGCGCGCGGCTGATGTTGTTAACACGAGGCGGTTAATCGCGCAAACGGATGACGGACGATTTGGCCTTAACCGATTCCGCCCCGACGAGTCCCCTGTTTCCCCAACGCGAATCATTTCTTCCCGTCTCGCAATCACGTTATTCCAGGAAATCCCGATAGAGAACCTCGTTTATGAAAATGTTATTACAATGTTATTATAATATATTAAATTCAATTTTCTTTTACGTATCGCAAGTATAGAGTTGCCAATTTTCTCTCGTGAAAAGTAAAGGAAAAGAGAGAACGAAGAGAGTCATTTCCTATATTCGCATCTCTGAAATTTAAATCGCAAAGATCCGACTTTTCATAATTCAAAAGACATCCGGAGAAGAAAAATTGTCCGGATATCTTTATTAAGAATGGATAAATGCGAGATTAGTTGAAATGCAAATTGAACTTGAAATATATATGATGATTAGCAGAGCGCATACGTTTAACGCCGTGAAGCATTGGCCGAAAAGGAACGTAATACCAATTCCTGTAGAATTAATTAAGAGATTGCTCGAGAGGATGGTCGACGCACGGATCAAAAGAAAATTCTCTGATGTCTTCCTTTTTTATTTTTCTTCTTTTCCGACCTGTGGAGAGAGGGACCCTCCCTCCCGTCCCCTTCAATCCCGCGATACGTTTAGTGTTCACGACGACGGGGTTGGTTCCTCCCCGTATACCGCCGTTGCCATGGATATTTGCATGCGTCCAATAAACGGTGGCTAAGGGGCTCTCGACTCGCTTAGGGTAAAAAGCGAAAGAGGGTCGCTAAATTTTACCCTCCCCCTCCTTCCCTCCCCCACATTGCCCTACGTCGTTCTTCCTTGTTTCTATATGCGTCGCGTCTCCTTCATTCTACTCGTCTTCCCTTGTCGGGCTCGCTCCCTCGCATCTTCGTAACAACGCCGAGGTGTACGCGAGCCACCCTCGCGAGGAGGCCACGGGTGAAAGTCGTAGCGAAGTTGGAGGAGGAAAAGGATGACGGTAGAACTGAGAGAGCATTCTTATCGACGTGAGAAAAAAAGTGTCAAAGGCTCGCCTTTACTCGTGAAAGAAAGCCGACGAGAGTTCATCTTCGCGGCTTTTTGCACAGTCCCCTTTCCTGTCGTCGCGACAAATTTTAACATTCGCGTCGAGGAAAATAAACCGATACGTTTGCAAGCAATTCGAAAAAGTTGCGATAGTTACTAATCGCTACGAGATAATAGATTTTCCCTTCGTAGATATTCTGGAAATAATATAGGAATTGAAAAATTAAATAAGTTATATTTTTTTTCTTTGAAACTTTTTTTTAACATAGATTTGCATTTTTCATTTTTAATTCTTTCCACATCTCTTCTGAAACATTTTTGTAAAAATGGCATTTTTTAGAATGATACATTTTGTATCATTCGACCTATTTCATAACTTTTCGACTACTTTGATAAAAGGAGAATTAAACGCTGGAAAAATGTGGTTTAACACATTAAAGAAACAACACGAAAAAGTTTAACAAGTATGTTACAGCGAGTCGTCAAAGGCGTGACTTTTAAGCATTTTAAGCGGTAACGAGGCGCCGACACAAACAGCGACGTTTCAGAATTTCGCGTTTTAACAAATTACAGGAGAGCTTGCGGATTCCGCAGAGCGCGCCTCCGGGGCGTTGGAGGATCAAAGCTGGCGCGTAATCCCGGCCGCGTTTGAGGATCTTGCGAACGCTTCTGAACTTGTTGTGGGCAAGATTAACGTTTCTTTAATGGTCCGTGTAATATTCCATTACGTACAGTTCGCTCGAGAATTATTGCGCCGGGGCGAAACGAGGCGTCGAACGGATTCGAGCGTTAAAACGCGAAGCGATCGAAGGAAATTTCAGCCTCACCTTCAACGAAATCTTCGGATATTACATTGTCTCATTCCGGAAATGAATTGACATCACATATTTCAATAAAATTGATGCATCAAAATATCGGAGAATAAAATTTGAAGATTATAATTTTGTTTGATAGCAAAATTAATTCCGATTGCAAAATTAATTCTGTGCTAATTTATAATCATTTTCGAAAAGGTTTTATAGAGTTCTCATAGATAAATGTACAATATGTTTGTCTTCGAGAAAAGCGAATATATTATATATTATATTTTTCTAAAGCTACTCAAAAGACTTTGAAGAAAGATTTATTACGTTGTTTTTGAGTTTGCATTGCGCTGTGTAATATGTCGTAAATTATCTCGCGGAAGTGCATAGAATTTTTACAAACGTGATACTTGTCGCTACATTTCAGAACTTTTGAACAGAATTTCTTTCTTAAACCAAAGTACTTGAAAATCTTTCGACTTTTCTCTGGGAGCAAGATAATTCGCGAACGGGATTGATTCGGAAACGTTTCTACTTATTTTCTCTGATCTCAGTTTGTGCGTGTCCGTCCATGTGCTGCATATGCGTGTGGTAGACGATGGAAGACCTCAGTTCGAAGAAAAGGAAGGGGATAAAAAGAAAGAGGAAGAATGAGAGGAGGTACGAACGGAACGAAGGAACGTATTCCAGGCGAGCCGTGGTGATTGGGGGAAATTTCATTATTCTCAGACATTACCCCCGTTATTGTAATGCCATCAAATTGGATACGCTTCGTACACCTTGTGGAACGGGTGGAATATCTCGGGCTCTCTCCTCTTGCGTTGACTCTCTCCTTCTTTCTCTCTCTTTCTTTTTCTTCCGCTTTTTTTACGCGAATGTCGGAACGAAGCTCGCTCTGTTGCGGACTTCTTCATTTTCCCCTATAACAATTTTGTATATTTCGTTCGGTTTAGCTAAACATAATCGGAAAATATATATATATATGCTTTTCGTGTGTTTCAAACTTTTTGTTTGCGTTTGATTCTTTGTCGATTTATTACAGAACATTTTTATAAAAATATGAATCGTCAATGTATCTCGGGACGGACAAAGCTTTTCTTGTATATTGTTGTGATAAGCATTGCAGCCTCAACTTGCATTACATTTATTATAATTTTTTCTACTTTCCAAGAGCAATTCAATTTAATTTTTTATTCGTTATAGTCATTATTTAAATTTGTATATCCAATAATAATGACAAGAAATTCTTATAGATATCTCTTCAACGATATTTAATTAAATTATTGTCCATCTTTTCGAGGAAATATTGACCAGATTAAGTAAAATTACGCGAGAGCAGCAACAGTTTTGTGCAGAACGGGCGTCCGATCGCATTCATCCTCTTTCGCGAGAAAGTTGAACGCGCGCGGAATTGTCGAATCGAGCCAATGGCTCGACAAACCAGTAAAGCCCGCAGGACGCGGAGACGGATTCGAAATGTCCTGCGGAGCTCCCACTATCCGTTTCGTCGTGGAATACCGTTTCGGTCCCTGCCGGATTTGAATCTGGCACCCAGCGTGGCGGACGCGTTATTGGTTTACTCGCGTCACTGGCTCCGGGATGCCAACAGCGGTTCTCATCCGAGAACGAGGAAGAATTGCCTATGATTCGTGTGTGAATCAGTCATTCGGGAGGCGACATAAATCCCTTTTCAATCGCTGATGATTCTGCCAGAAAGAAAAGAAAAATTAAAAAGTTAAATGTTTCTCTTAGCTTGTCTACTTATCATCATTCAGATAATTATCATATTTTTTTAAATTCTTTTTTATACTCTTTTGTGAGACTTTTGTTATATATTCCTAAAAAATTTAATATCTCATACTATTATAATATTTTCGTGAATGATAAATTATCGACAATATTACGGAGGAAGATGAGGTCATTAGAATTGTAGTAAACTCGCAAGTCATACTTTCGAGAGATCAAAGGGACGTTTTTTCTGATAAAATTTATTGATGTAGAGCAACTAAGAGCGTCACTGCGAAACGAGATATATTCGTTGACCAGAACGGACCATGCGCGTCCATTCCAAGGGCTGACGTTGACATTTTGCCTCCATCGAGCATCTTCATATTAAATCGCGCGCATCTTTCTTACAACGTAAGAAATCGGTGTTTTACCGCCTGCATAATCAGATTGTTACAATTTATTGAATCGATTATTGTAATATAGATAATTTATTTATTTATGAATTTAAAAAAATATAAATTGCATGAAAATAATTTTGTTGCGACAACAAACATAC